TTAAATCGCAAGTGTCAGTCGAGAAATACTAATTTTCTTACGTAGGTAAATATAAAAGACACTTCAATAGGCTCCTCAGGCAGTTCATAGGCAGTTTTATGGTCAATAAAATGTTACCTGAACATTCTCACTGTTACTCCAGTCCTCACATTAGCCCTCCCTGTAATCCAATCCTCACACATCCCTCCCTTACATATACTTAAAGCTGAGCTGCAGGCAAATATATAAGACACAAATTAATACAGCTCTGTAGTTATTGATGCATCAATTAATGTATTTTTTTATGCAGACAGTATAAATACCTAAATTTGACTTGACATCTGCCACTTGCAATCTCCTGTACAGCAAAGCTAGGATTGCAGAGGAAGAAGCAACACAAGGAGCCAATCAGTTGTGCTGCAGTGCCCATGTGCTAATCAGGGGCATGCTGATAGGAGGAAAGAGAGAGAAGAAATGGAGAGATAAATTGATCAGTCTGCTTATTCTCCTTTCACTGCCTAGTCACAGGCTGATAGAGGGATAAAACCTGTGAGTGTTACTTAAAAAACAATGACAATTCAGAGCAAAGTGATGGTGTGTAGACCCCTTGATACTGACCCTGCCAACACTCCCATGCCACCCCTTCCTTCTTCCCAGCTAGAACTAAAATCCCCAGTGTTGACTGGTGTCAGAGGTTATGGGGAGCTGCAACATTACTCATCATGTGATAGAATGGTTGTTAGACCCAAGCACTGCCACATGGTTGGAGGTCACAAGGTTCACCATATCTAGAAGCACTGAGTATTTTTGGCATCTGGATAACGGCAGCAGCAGGGTATCAGTGGGCCCCTTTACACAGGTACAGTCATTTTGCTCTGAATAGGAAAAATGTCTCTTTAACTGCAACAGAGAAACGTAAGGTCTGCTCTGCCAAATTCCATCCTCCGTGTGCTGTGGTTCCATCCTTGGACCCCTACATAACTGATGTATGCTGTAGTGACACAGAGGTCAGAGTGGCACGCTGCGGGTAGACACCGGCATGCTATAAGTGTCAAATACTGAAGAAACTGGGAAAGGTGCAGCATTCCTGGGAGGGAAAATGGTAGAAAGACTGGAGGAGCTTTTAAACTAGAAAGTGGGGGGGAGGGTATAAAAATAAAATTACTTAAACTAAACGTTGATAATTTAATCATAGATAAAAATAACACAGAAAGTAGTAAAAAATGAGTTAATAATAGTGGGCTCACTCCAGTCAATATAGGAAATCCGTTGGCACATGTAAGTATAACTACCAACGGATGACCGAAATCAAGGCAGAATAATAACAATAAAAATAGTGGGGAACAACAAGGTAGTAAACTTTGTCCCACAAAAAGAGAGGAATTAAATGTATGTACACCAACGCTAGAAGTCTGGCAAATAAAATAGAGGAGCTTGAAATTAGGTTAATTGAAGAGGACTTCGACATAGTGGGTATAGCGGAAACCTGGCTGGACAGCACGCATGACTGGGCTACTAATATAGAGGGTTATAACCTGTTTAGGAGGGACAGAGGTGGGAGAAGAGGGGG